ACAGGGTCAGTCAGTGGCCTTGGGTCGATTTTGTGGGTAATATGCCCTGCACCTTCCCTCGTGCTGAAAAATCTTGTATAACTACTTATTCATTTGAATTTGTATTAACGCATTCGCGACAGGCAAATTTTTCGCTTTTTTAATACTAATTGCGGGGGAACATGAAAAAAATGAAGATGGAAAAAACTGCGTTTGACGAGTGTACATGTCATCATAAAACTCGAAAGGATACTAATCTTTTCAATGATGAATTAGTTATCTTTTTAAATACACATGTAACTCTTCTCCGTTTTGCTTTAGTTTTTCGTTAGAATATATTATAGGTTCATTTACACTGCGTTTAACGAGTATATACTATATTGCTTGACTTTATCGCGCGCGATGAGAGATTTTTTAAACTAAATTCCTCGGTTAACTGGTTAAGCTATATAGATACCGGGAATAGTTCGAACGAACCTTAATCAGAATTTAAACACAGAAAACCTTTTTGTATAGTTATTTTGGTTTATTTGGTACCAACGACATAAACATAACTTGCTGCTGGTGCCAATTTTATTCATTGAACTAGTGAAATACTAATTGACATCGGACCTCAATTCATTGCTAACAAGGAAACAGAACGAACTTTTTACGCTGCTTAATAATTGCCACAAATTTCTGACGTTAAAATATGGACGAAAATGAGAAAATTTGTTTTTAAATATTAGTCTTGCAATTATCTGTTCTCTGGAAGTTATTGAATTTAAAAAGACGTGAATTCACGTCTTTGCAAATATAATGACTTTCGAATTATTTTATTCTTGTGCACTGTTCCATTTACGACTTTTTTAACGGAAAGTTCTTCATTTCAAACAACAGATCGTTACAAAACTAATATCTCAAAATTAATTTTCTAATTTTTGTCCCTGTTTTAACGTTAGAAATTTGCGCTAATTAGTTTAAATTTTCTTTATTTATGTTCCTTATTTTCATCGGCAACGAGTATTAGAAAAGCGAAAAATTTGGTGGTCACATTAACTACATAGTCAATTTAAATGCGTTCTAATTCTAGTGTTAATATATTGTAAAATAGAGAACGTATTATGTGCTTCAAGTTTCCCGGTTTTTTTCATTTTATTTGTTTTTCGTGCCTCTGAAAGAGTCTTACTATTGTAAGGTAACATAAAATTTATAATATTTCAAAATTAGATTCTCTATGGTAATTGGATAAATTCGAAGAATTTCAAAAATAAAAGTCGTTAAAATTCCTTTCGTACAATGAAACTTTCTGGCGCTGTAGAAAACAAACTACGCGAAAAACGCTACTTTTACAGTGGGGATTTATGTTTGAACGCGTGAAAACAACCGTACAACAAAAGTTTAAAGGTTATGAAAGTCTACTGTGTTAAGAAGGAAATTATCCAAGCGACATAAATTTTTATGGAAAACGTACTTACATAGTTACGATGTGAATACAAACTACGGAGCAACGGTGCTTCTTCGCTTCCAACTTCAGTAAGTTCGAATAGAGAAAAAATGCTAATGCGATGACCATAATCTGGTTGGTAATAATATACTACGGATCTACATGTAAATTCACGCTTTTAAGAGCTAACTCTTAAAAACAAAGCTCATTATCTTCACATTCGCATCGGGCATTTTTTGGCGACTTCGAGTTTCGATAGCTACAATCGAAAATTGCAAATGAATAATTTCATTACTCAACTAACAAGAGTCTGACACATGGTTTTTATTCTTTTAGTATTTAAGACCTCGATGTGCAATTCAGATGTTTATGAAAAGAAATATTATAAGTTCAAGATAGTCTCGTCCGCAAAGAGTTAATAGAAAACTGTCGACCGTTAAGCTTTAATAACATAAAAATATTTTAACATGTGTGTATTAAAACTGCGACAATTATTTTTGTAATTAATATATAATATAATATATAATCTAGTATCTCTTAACACATTCGCATCGGAAAACGAGGATTTTCACGGTTTGGCTGCTTTTTACGTTCACCGAGTCTCAGAGACGCGAAGACTCCGCTACTATCAGTGTGGCCAGATCGAGGAAATTGAGGGGAACGCGGTATACCCTCTCCCTGGCGTTACCGAGGGGTTCCGCAGTGGTTGCGGAGGTTGTTGGGTGATGCCCGCTGATGAGGAATAGGATAGTGGAAGGGATAAAGCAGAGAGGGGAACACGCAATCATTTGGTCGCTTTCCGGCTAATACATTGGCTACTATGTTCCCTAGAAGGACCAAAGTGGAGCGTGCCTCTCCGTTGCCTCCCTGCTCCTTTAACATTGTGATGGATTGCACTTAAATCTAAAACACAATTCACTTAATACTTTCTCGCATGTCATGTCTTCATAATTGGGCAACGAATAGTACCAACTATGAGCCTTCCCTTTTAATTTGTGATACACCAGGGACTTAGCCTCCTCCTCTTTGAGGCGATACTTGCGAATTAATTTTCTTACGTGATTTGCCCAAGTTTCCGCCTTGCAATCCTCACTGTCAAAATCCATGACCATCTCTTCGATGTCGGTCCATTGATATTCATACGCTGAATCGATGTCGAATGATGTTCCAGGCTGAACATTTTCCAGTTGTCTTGTTGACATTCGAATTCTGTGTTGCGCAATTGACAAATTCCTGGGTAGACCTTCCTCTATCGGAAGGGATTCACTGTCGGGCATCCTAAACGGCATCGCTTGACGTGTCAGATTATTAAAATTAAACCCGCCAGACATCGAGGATTGTAATGTTTTTCGCTTTTTATACTTGTTAGTGTAATAAATATTTATGATTTATTTACACATGTATAAGCTTCACTAAAACGAAAACCTACAATTCCTGGGAAAGCCAAACGAAAAGAACTGATCGACTGAGAAATTTATATTCGACTAGTGCTATAGGGTAGTCGGCGAAGTAGCGAGTTTGACTGAAACCGATCGCATACAAATGCAATTTCCTTTCACGATAAGATACAATAAGATACAGTCACGATAAGATACAGTAATGTTGCGATAATCTTTGATAAAATGATAGTATTAAACTATATTTTTAAATTATTTGTTGGTATCATACTCATTTCCTGGAAAGACTATTCTAACAATGAAGCAGAAATCTTGAAAAAAGGCTTATCGATTGTTCTACTGTTTTCAATAAAAAGATATTACATATCTTCGTTTGTTTGTTTTATACTTCTCTTTTTATTTCTTTTATTACCTTAATTACTAACAGTTTCTATTCTCCTTTTCTGATAATCAGTTTTTTACTAGTTCTTTCCATTTCCAAGTATTCCGATTCATTTTAAGTAATATATCAATACTACTGAATACTTGTATAATTGGTTATTTGTTAACTTAAATGGATTACCAACATTATTATCATTATATTCCTTATCTAATAGTACACTAACAGTGTGTAGGGTAACTGTACGTAATATGGAACAGTGCAATATTTCGAAAAATAAATTGAATAGAACTTTATTATCACAATAACTGTTTTCGTCTACTGAAGAAGGAAATTAAAACTGTATTCTACTTTGTTAAAGTTTCTATTTTGCTGAATTATATGCGATTTGTTATAGAAATATAAAGATTCGTAATTTAGACATAATCATTCTTCAAACATAAAAATGTTTCACACTTTATAGTGGAAATACAGTCATAAAATGTAAGATTAAAGTAGTTGAATAAAAAATTAAGGAAACAGATATTAAAAGTGAAATGTTTATTTTGTCTCGCTCTTTGAATTTTATGAACATAATGAAGATATAGTACAAGAAAAAAATTAAATTAAATGAAAATAGTACATGTGTTATTAAAGGACATAAAGCTATATATAAATATAACTACACGTCCTCAGATAATAAAGAATAAAATACATTAACCTCTTCTTTTCATCGACTAATGATATAATTTCACTTGAATCTGTGTAGGAGATTATAAAAGTGAAAAGTAAATAAAAACTGTTATTCGATTTTCTTAATTACTTTTACTCTTTTGAAAGATAAAGCTATCAGAAAGTTTAGAGTCTTTCCCACAAACTACTACGATAAATTTTTTTATAATTAATGTTTCAATACTGTACAAAACATACGTTATATTCTTCAATAAGAAAGGCAATTAGATGGAACGTAACATCTGGTGTAATAAATTTTTATTGTACTGAATTGTTAATACTATATTTAAATCTTCTTCGAATCCTAACTCTCAAAAAAGTTATTTACTACGAAATGTTGTAAACGCTACAAGCAATATGAAAATATAATCACACTTCATTTATTTCTTATTATTTTGTTACTCGGATAGAAATACTCAATTAGAATCTATTAATTTATCATTAATTTAACTCCTTTCTCGTTTGACATTATTCGAGAGCCAATGACACAAACGACGCAAGTGTATAAGATTATAAATAATAATTCAAAAGACAAAAGTAAGCTTAAAAAATTAATGATGATAAAAACTATTTTGTATTAAATCGATTTTAGTGAGGTTGAAATATATTATCAAGAAAATGATTCTGAACAACTCCACTATACATGTTATATATGTACATAAGTATTATAACAATAGCAGATTGTGGAAAATTATATAAATGCTTAACATGAATCTAACTTAAACTAATGAAAACAAAAAAACATGGACTTATGACATAACATTGAATATATTTTTGAGAATATCTCGAAAACTATAAACTCGAGCACTATGTGCACGAGAAACAACAACATATTTAATATTTCAAATTGATTAGTGACACTCTTTTTCGTATAAGATTATGCATAATAATTCAAATGACAGAAAATAAATTTACAAAAGTTAATGATGATAAGAACAATTTTATATTAAGTCGATTCACAGAATGAAAGAAAGAGACATTTAGACATTTTATTCGTTTCGCTGATTTTTACTTTCCAAGGGCGTTGACTTTTAGATGGTACCGACTTCACGATAGTTTCCTACGTTATCAGCTAAAGCTCTATCAAGAGTTACAGTGTTATCGTAATGGTAAGTTTGGCTACAAGTATTCCCGATCTAGTTAAACTATCGCAACCTTTTTAAACTTGCTGAGTTTCGTCGTGAACGAGGTGAAAGAAGAGCCTCGCCATGGAACTGGAAACACTTATGTATGCGCAAAAGGCGCGGATACGAGGTCACCGGCAAATTTAGCCACTTTTGCGAGTTTTCCATGTGACGTGAGGAGATTTGAATCGTGAACAGGAGTGGAATTCACAATTTTCATGGAACGGTTCGTATATCGTTGGAAAATATTGGCAGTTTCAATTTAAAAACCGTTTGATGATCGTATTGCGGTAGACGTTCGAAAAGCCTGCTCGAGCAACTTACGACATTATCGGAAAAAATATAATAACGATTTGTATCATTTTTATTTCGTATTTTATATCGGAAAACATGGATACATACGACTATCCACATTACTTATTCTTCTTTATCATTTAAAGTCTTAATTTTTTTTACTAACAAGTAATATTTTTAATTGTAAAAGTGTTTTTATTTTATTAAATTGATGTATTATGATTATTTATTATGATTATCTTAGAACTGAGAAGTTCAAGTCATTCGATAACTTCCTGTTTTACCGATAGTTAGTACCAACACCGTGTTCTACGTATTTTCCATGTAATCTTTTTAATTGCAACTTCCAATCTCAAAATCATAAAATAATAAGTTACTATTAATCAATAATAATTAAATAAAATGCAGATCTGAGTTAGGCACAAGCCCATACATGTATAAAATATTGTTTAAAATATGAATGTTTCCAATTCCACGTAAATAATCTTCCATTCCGTGGACAATAAAAACGACATTTTGCAATAACAATAATTCAACAAATAAGATAAAATTATTTCTCATGGTACTTTCTCTTCAGCAAAACTATTCACTAAATTTATTCATTGCTTTTAACAATATGTTAAAACATCTGCTCCAGATTCATAATTCAAAGGAAAATTATTCGAAATGATACAAATAACTTACCATTTTTAAAGTGTTATTTTTTAACAATTCAAACGTTGAGTTGAGTTTCATTTTGTGCACTTATGAGGGTTAAGTTTTCAAGACAGAACTTTTAATAAATATATGACTGATGTACAACTGTGAAATAGTATTTTCACGCGTGAAGAATAGAAATACGCGAAATAATATGTGTCAACGCTTTATTGGCACAACCGAAGTGAAGTACCGACACGAATTGACGGGAAAGTAGCAGAAGTCGATTTATCGTGCTTCGAAACGTCACTGCATTAAGTAATATCCTGGAAAGATTTATAGCTGCAGCTGCAATGGTTAGATTCGTAAAAGTACGTCTCTGGGGTAACAAGTCTGCATCTCCGCCTCCGATTTACACCAGGAAATAAAGTTCCTGTTCAGGAGATGAACCGAGGAAATCTTGAGAATTTTTCCTTATCGTGAACCACTGGCAAAACGAGATTCACCACCATCTCGTTTTACTTATGGCACGCGTATACACACGCCTACACATTCAAGTATTAAATCACTTGATACTCGCAGTGAAAATACGATATTTTATTGTAGCCGCCTATTTACATATTTCGCATTAGATTTCTTGCATTGAATTAACACGTTTACTACCGTGGAAATCTTTAGAGTTTTACGTATCATTTGTTCTTCTTTAGCAAAAATAAAAAGGAACAATTATTCATTGTTTTGGATCAACTTTTATGTTACATTGTTATTTAATTATTTACGCTATTGAACATTTTTATTTGAGATCAGTCAACTTACAAATTTTAATTGTTTTCGAGTATTTTGAAAACTTCAATTCATCGGTGACTTATTTAATAGTGTAATCACAGTGTTTCTTGTATACTATTCCTTTACTATAAAAGCGAAGCAAATTTAAATGAAGACAAATTAAAAAATATCTGAAGGTTATATGCAATACATTTTCGTAGAAGATAAAGTATACAATGCATATAATTTACATGAATATTTTAATTTAGAGTAACCGTGTAAAAAGTTTTTATAAAAAAACTTTCTCAAGAAAAGTCTCTGAAAAAACTTAGTTTTCTTTATGCACGCAGAAGTTCAGTAAGAATAGAAAAAGTGAAATAGAAAAGTAGTGAAAACATTGTTGGAGTACCATTGTGCTTTCAGATACAGTGCAAATATCGATTGAACAGAGTGAGTATTCCAGTGGACCAATATACCGATGAGGTTGACCCAACAGACCACCATCTTCTACCCACAATAATCGACCATAAGCTATATTAAAATCTGATAATATCAGGGTTTCGTGACCTCCTCACGAATGAAGGCATAAGATACGCCCGGTAGGTTCATTCTAACTCTTCCCAAAATACAGAACTAAAGAGCAGATTAAGAGAATCCAAAGTATTGACATAGATTGCGTATTTATCATAAATTTAACCCTTTAGACTCGAAAGTTTTGCAGTATAAATATTCATCATTTCCTGATAAAATATCGATGACATCTTTACAGTTAACTTAAAGAAAAATTATACATAAGTCAAGGGACAGAATTATTTTATTAAACTAATTAAAGAAACTAATTAAAGAAACTTTTTATAGCAACACACAATAAAGATACTAATTAATAATATAATATATAATATCAAAGTCTTACTATAACGAACGATATGTAGGATATGTGAAATAATGAATAAAAATTGTATTTGTGTGTGAAGGTCTATCATTTAATTATAAAACAGAATGAAAACGATGAACATTTGTTTTTGTATACGAAAATTAGCAAAATAATCAAAGATGAAAATGCAAACGTTGCGAACTTGAATATCAGACGTTAATTTCTAGGTACGTATTTATCAATCAATAATGAAACAGTAAACAGTAGTTGTTAGGAGACAGGAAAATTCGTGGAAATTCGGCAGAGTGTATCGCACTACAAACCGCAATCCAAATGTGTCAGATGCAGAAGGCAAGCATATCACTGTTAATTATATAATCTGTTAGGTTACTAAATTGAATTCAAATCCCTAATAATGATAATATCGTTTGAATATTCAGAGATCTCGAAGCTTCCATTTCTTTTAAAACTATATAGATTTTAGTCTTATTAGAAATAGTAAATAAACATTTTATTAACACTAGAACAATCAACATTAAAAGTATGTTTATTTCTAATAAATCAATCTATTAATTTATCGGGTATTAAAAAAAACACTTTATTTGTTAGTATTTTAAAAATGAAAAACTAATTACGATATGTTAACAATTTTTGTGGCTGTAACTATTTAAAATATTTCCTGCAAATAAATTTCCTCTTATCAGTTTCAGATAACAAATACAAACTGTTATCGAAATACTGTACCATTAGTTTGCTTTATTTGGGAAATAGACAGCGTCACGACCGTCCATTTACTACAGGTCCATAAGTCCCGTAATTTACAACCAAACTCGATACGTATTTACTTGATCAATTTTTTGTTATAGTTGCAATAATCTATAAAATCACTAAACCTATCATATTGATAGATTTTAGTGTACACGGATATTCCATATGTAGAAGTTATTGTTAAAAATGGAGTGTCCAATGAAAATAGATTTACGTATACAGTGATGCTCGCATCAATTCCATAGACATCTGCTCGGCTTAATTCCACTGCACCATCCCTATTCTTCCCCCACTACTCACTGTCTCAAGCTCAGTGTAATGTGAAACTTTCTGAAGTGTTACCTTACCTTTTCAATCATAGTACCCATGGAATATTGAGATACTTTCCATTAAAATGAATCCAAACACGACGTAAGTCGGTCTAACTTTATCGATTTGGGGGAAATGAAGCTTTAATTTCGTTAATTACATTAAGTTGGTGAAACTAGTCCGATTTCCATCGTGTTTAGACTTATTTTAAACACAACAATCTCAGAAATTCACTGGCACTACAATTCAGAAGGTAAGGTTAAAATTATTGCAATTGAAATTTTCTTCATTGTACATTTATATTTAAAGCATGCGGCATCGCTTTGTAATCGCTACCACTCACTACATCCATTCTCTGTCTTTATCGGGCTATTCTCAAGTCAATTCCTGGAAGCTTCCTCAAATAGCTTCTTCCTGTTTTTTCTGCTCGGTTAAATTTCACTTTTGCGACTCGAAATTGTGAAATTTAAGCAAGCATTACTGTATACCCAATCCTTTATTTCAATAAAGGTCAATATAAACTTCGATAAAAATATTTTAATAGTTTTTGAACTTTAAAACAAGAAACTTAAAATTCATCACTTTGACAAATTTGGTTGTACTAGTGTCAAATTTTTATCGATCCATTTATTTGAAGCAGTATACATAACTGATCTAATTTATTTATTACATAATTGCGGTTTTGACTCAAATACGTTGTTAATGCAAGAAGTATTTTTAATATTATGCATTCGATCTTTTGAAAATTCAAAGATCTATACAATATATCACATACGTTTGCAATAAAACGGAAATATTACATAGTTTTTCAATAGAATGGAAACATTATAATATTAATCAAAAGATTGGAAAAGTGTTTATAAAAATATGAAACACTGTAATGACTATTGAAAATGCAAACATTTTAAACTTAGCTAAGGAAAGTATGAAGAGAAAATATTTTCCAAGTTAATAACGCTGTACCTTAATACCTGTTGTTTAGCATGCTTTAATAAATTATTAATCTGTAAATTAATAGAGATGCACTACTCTAAGTTTCGTAGAAATACTTAGTTAACGCAACACACTTGAGTGAGGACTAAACTAGAGAAGCAGAGGAACTATCCAACTAATAACTAGCCTTCATCTCTACTTTGAAGGCACGTCAAGGAATTTATGAACCGTGAAAGCTACACAGCATTAATATACTCATATATACATGTGTCAACATGCACTGTCTTTCGACTTGGATAACATTCTAAGCATTTTTCAGCTTATCAAATTAGTTTTAATCAGTTAAAGTTGCTTCTTGAATACTTCATGAAATATACCGGAAAGAAAGGAATATTTCATTGAATAATTTTATTATATATAATTTCATTTATGCATTTTTACAATTGCAATTAGACAATTTCATGACTGATAAAACGTAGTTTTGTTTTTCCAGTCCTTTTCTGGTTTGCCCATGTTTTGTCAAGTTTCATGTATCTAAGTAGAAAATTTTGAACATTTATTCCTTCGATATTCATCATTATTAATCACACTTTCATATGCAGTGTATCCATTTGGAAAAAACCAACTAAAACTGGAAATCCATCATTTCTTCCTAAATACAAAACTTCCTAAATACAAAACTTTCTTAAAGTTTCATTTCTGTAAATAAGAAATAGTAATTAAATGAAACGTCAATCTTTTAATGAAATTTCATGAAATAAAAAGACTGTTTATCACTAAAATATGTAATATATTGCATTTCATAATTACAATCGCGAACAACAACCTTCAAATTTGTTCAGAAACCTTTTCATAAATTTCAGTGATTTCAAAAAAATCAGATGTACAGCTACCAGCTATAGATAACCTTATTGCTCTCATTGGAATACTCAATTCCAATATAAACATTCGAGAAGAATGGATATCATTGTAACGTCCATACGACACCGGATTCGGCGAAAGCTTGCCATGCGTTAATTCCGATAAAAGAATCTTTGTGGTCCCAACCAAGTTCAGAATTGAATAAAATCTTTCAGACAATGGCCGCCGTCGACTTCGAGGAAAGTTCGGCGATGCCGAAGGAGGACGAAGGAAAAACAGAAAGAGGAAGAAGAAGGGAAACTTAGGAAACAAGGGGACAGAGGGTAAAAAGAGGATCGTGCAACTAAGTGCAGCACGACTAAAATATAGGTGCGGTCTTTGTACCATCGACAGCTACCTCGGAGATTATTCATTCGACCCTTAATTCATTTATCTCTCGCTACTCTATCCCCCTCGCCGTAACGATCACCGCCAGACCAAGGTATTAAATGGCAGCCACAGCAGTTTTTAATGACCGCGCAGCCTCCATCTTTCTGCAAAAAAAGAAGGCAATTTCGCCGGGCAGAAGTGTGAATAGAATTTTACTGGTAGAACGACGCGGGAAAAAGAGGTGGTAAGTTTGCCGCTTAAATTGCCTATAACTCATTAACCAAGTTTGCACGGTATAATCGGCAGTGTTAACATTCCATTAGGTGTAATTGATGGCACGATAGTTAATGAAACATTTTTCATGTAGATATTTACGTCGATGTTAGCGTTACACGAGAATTTCAGTGATAATTATTCACAACGAAATATTTGTGGCTTATTTAACTTAACGAGCAGAACATCTTGATAATTAATAATTACTAATTATATAGAAAAGCGTGCTACTCGTTGATTTTAATAAGGTTGAAATATGTTGTCAAGAGAATGATATAAAAAATATTGAATTACATTGAACAGAATACCTAGAAATTACAGGAAAAAGAAATTTTTTATTTAATGGAATATAAAATGAAAAGTTAGGACTTACTGTGGTAATATTTTTCAAACTTTTAGAATTTTACAAGTTCTAACGAAGTTTCGTTTCCCCAACCCATTCCCATAAAGATTAATATATACAATAGTTTTAAAAAATTGTGTCATATATAGGTATATGATTAGTATGACAGTCAATGCATTGAAAAATAGATTTCATTGAAAAAAGGATGAACTTTAGAAATTATTATCTGGGTTATTATTTATTGTTAAATTTATTATCTATATTGTTAAACATATAAAATTAGTACTATCCTACTATATTACTTATAATGAACACTAAATTTACGGAATGAGTAAATGTGACTCATCTTAAATTTTATAAACATTATTTGGTAAACGTCGAGTCGATTTTGATTGATACGGTTCCGCAAATATGTATGCTAATTGTCTACTTTTAAACCTCTAATTTCCAAGATCTAAATCAACGAACATCAGTTTTTCTAAGAACGATAGATGAAACTGTTCAGTAAATGTCCATAAATCTAATGTTAAAAATTCCAAAAATTCATATTAATCAAATGACAGTATATAAATTACTATAAATAAAATTTCCTCTATAATTCCTTCTGCTTGAAAAGATCTCACAAAATTCATTTAATTTTAATGCAAATACCGTAACCGTTCATATTGCAGAGGTCGAGTATTATAACGCCGGTAACATATTTAATTTGTCCAAATCATTCGTACGTTGCAAAAGCAGGCTTATCTCTTCTCCCAAATTCGTGCGCATGAAAATTTAATCTCGATAAACTATGATACCGGAATGCACAATTGTTTTGTTCAAGATCACATTTCTGGGTCCCATAACTTGCGTGGCACAAGATGTATGCAGATGCGGAACGAACTCACGCGAACGGCGGAAATAATCCCGGATAAGCGCGGTGAATGCGCACAATAGCAATAAATAAATATGTAAAGAATTAACGAACGCTGTAGCGTGAGAACCTGGTACGGGCTCTCGAAACGGCTGAATTATTGTGTAACGCTAATTTAAGCGTGCGTACGGACGCCCGGGCTTACGATCCGATAAACCCAATGAATGCAAGCTGTAGACAACAGGGTTTCGACCGCCGACTAATCGTCCACGATGAAACAAAACGACACTGTTCTCTTCTATGCTGCGTTTCTATTCGAGCCGAACATGCTAAAGGTCTCTATACACGATGAGACTTGTCCACGGATAAACAATGGGTGATATATCCTACTACCTTCGATTGTAGGCCGTCAGTATAATTATCCGTATTTTATTACCATCATCATCAGTATTATTATTATTGTTGTAAATATCATTATTGGTATCACTAGTATTATTAGTATTAATAGTGTTACTAGTATTGCTAGTGTTACTAGTGTTATTAGTGTTACTAGTAGTACTATTATTATTACCATTATTATAAATATAACTGTTGTTAATATTGTGAATATGGAATGCAACACTACGAACACTTCTACTACATTTCCCCTGTACAATTTTCCAGAAAAAGAGACAGATTTTTCTGAACCATGTCCTACTAACACACTTCTGACAATACAGTTAACCCATTCACTGCCAGGAAAATTTTGAGCGTCTTGCCTAGAGTACCAAGGTTAATAACAAACTACCAGATATCTGGTAGTTGGCACTGAATGGGTCAACTGCATACAAAAGGAATCACTGATTCTACTTTTTTTTTTTCGACATCACTACGTCAATCATGACCCCTACTTGGACTAGAACCTAAGACTACGACTTAAGAATCGACCTGCCCGATCGTAGACAATATTACAATAGGTTTGAGCCTTTTTTTATTTTCTGTACGATACGAATATATCAATACATCGTGCACACAGTGAAAAAGACTTGAACCCATTGCTTAACTCTTTAGTCCCGGTAGCATCACTTTGAAACCACATATTTCAATATCAGTAAAATGCGAACCAGTGTAGTAGCCGCGAAGCCACCAGTACAAAATTGATATAGTAAACGCCCTCTTGTTTTTTGACAGTTTTTATAAAAGTATTTATTTTTCCTAAAAGTTTTTGTTTTGGACGTAAAGGGTTAACCGCAGACAAACGGATTTTAAACGATGATTGTCGAATGTTCGGTAAAATTCGAGATAATTCCACAGAATCTGCTGATAATAGATTCGTAATAGATTAAATCAAACTCATTCATTCAAAATTGATACCTGAATGTAGAATTAATAACGATTAAATTAAATTAGATTTAAAAAGTAACTATAATTATCTACTTTTAACCCTTCCGTTCCGAATGGTACACATTAACAATTTAAGTGCTAATTAATATTATTATTAGTACTTATCTTATTCCTCTCACCGAAAAGTTTCAATTTCACTGGAAAGCAGCTGTTCTTGGACCTTTCTTTGATTTAGAGGAAAAACTACATATTAAGAGACAAAAGGTTTAAACCTTGAATTTCCAAGATTTAAATGGATGAACAACAATTCGTCTAGGAACAATAAAATAAACTGCACAAAAAATGTCCATAAACCCTGTGTTAAAGAAGAAGGAATTACCACCGTGTACCATGAACCTACTCTCGAAATCCGTGACTATCTGATCCGTCGTTTCTGAAAGCACGTATTCCCTTCTAGAAACGCAAGGGTAGTGGTAAAACGGACGTCGCATTTTTACTTTATTCCGATTCGTTCGATCAGCGTCGATGGAGAAAAGGCGCATTGTCACGAAAGAGATTATGCACCCCCGAATCGCATCGATCTACCCTGAGCGCACGTGTGTCCTGAGGAGAATTGATATTTGGATGTCGGGGCTCGAGGCGCGCCGAGTTACCGGCGTAAGAAGTGGGACAAAAACATCGAGACGGGAACTATCTTCCCAGCATCCAATATGTCTGTCGTCGACTTCGATTTTTCTCCCGTATCTGGGCCACGGAGGTTATTACACCGCCGCTGTTCTATAACCGACTCCCGGTGTGTGTGCCCGAGTTCACGGGAAAAGCGATTATTAAGCCGTGTCCACACTGACCGAGCTTTTAGCGCGCAGATTTTCCGTAAGACGTAGAAGCACTAAGAGGAAACCTGTTACAGTTTTATTTTATTTCATTACCATTACGAGTGGGTTGAATTTGCTGCCAACAATCTTAGATGCGTTTACACTGGTCATGAAACGCGTTATTGAAACAAATATAGCAAATTATTTGATATTACGCGCCACAGACAACAATGATTGCGAAAGTAATACTGGTTGTCAGCTTTCATCTGTTCTTATTTCATTTTCGACGATGACGGTACCTACTATTCGTCAATACAATTATACATTTGTGACATTTATTAAAAGTTCACAATTCTATTTTATTTTAATGTATTTTAGTGTATTTTATTCTATTTTATTCTATTCTACTTTGCTTTATTCTATTTTATTGCATTACTATCACAAGTGTATTCAACTTACCACAAGCAATCCCAGATGCATTTACACAGATCATGAGAATCGTTGTCAGAAAAAGATGTCGCAAGTTTCTTGCTAGTGTATCGGTATCTTATAAACAGAACCCAGAAAAAAACTTCTCCTGCTCTGTGCCATTCCGCTAGCATTCTCGTCAGATACGTGTGTCCGCCCCTTTACAAGGCTTTGGCCACTTCGATGGTGGCATGTCATGCAACGTGGACCGACAGATTTTCGAGCCGTCTGCACTTTATTCAGGGACTTTTCGAGCCGTGGTACACTATAGCAAGGCCAAGTCGATGTGAACATAGCTTTAAATCTTACCGTCCTCCAGGAAATTTTCGCGGATTTCCCTGCTCGACGAATTTCTTGGCATTTTTCAGCGGATTAAAGGGTGTTATTATGATCGCGGGGCCCTATGGATTTTGTAATATGGACGGAGACGAACGGTTCGGAGGAATTGGGACGTGATAAAGTATCCAAGGCTTTGAGATTGATAATAAAAGTTTTTTGGAAATAGGAGTGGATGGATTTAAATTTTCTGCATCAGAGACGTTTTGAATCGCTTTTTTTATTAATATTTTTTGTCAGGTTTGCATACAGAAAAGCTTTGTTATTATTGAATACATTTATACTTCAATGTAAAAATCTTGTGAAAAGTAATTTCAATATCGTGTTATTAAACAATTTGAAAGTTACGAAGTGCAACGAATTTGTTAAATTTTGTTTCATCAAATTCTTGATTTTGCGATATGAATAGACCTGAACGGTTCAAAGGTATTGGAACGTGATGAAATATCTAGGACTTTATGATTGATAGGTATTTTTGGGGTCAGGTAGCGGATGTACTTATTAAAATCTTAATATCAGACATTTTGAATGTTTCTTGGTTTTTAATACTTTCG